GCTTTATGTGTTTTTGGGAGGAGATTTCCACTGCTCTACTCACGCCGCCATCCTGGCTCCTAGACTGTACCTTTTAAGTAAAAATAAATTTCTGTGGTTTGTTTTTCCAGGTGGATTTTGGCTGCAATAAATCGCATTTCCCAGTAACAAAATGTCTAAATATTTAAACCAGTTTTAAACAATGAGAACTACAATCTAAAGAGCCCAGAGCATCCCTGAATGGGGTGTAACCAGTACCAACACACAGATACATGCCTTTTAATAACTAATAGTATTTGATTATTGGCATGGACCCACTGTTTGTTAGAACTTGTCAGACAAACCAATTGTTGGAGAAGAGACATAAATATAAATACAGAACCCTACAGGGCTCTTCTCAGTGACTTCAGAAATTCAAGTCTGGTGGGCAAAGGAAGGTCGAAGTGTGCTAAGGGACTGTCCTGCTGGGAGGGAGGCACAGCTTTGATCGGCTGTAAGGCTGATTAGCAGTGTTTGTTGTAGTCAGTTTCCTTGGAAACAGACTGTGTGCTGGTTGACGTGCAGGAAGTTTGAATCAGGACCTGGGCTTCCGCTGATTTGCTGGTTTTGGGAGGAAGAAATTGCCTCCACCCCTCAAGCTTCTTCTAGCTGGTCTAAGAATCAAACTGACATGAGACAGATTAGAAGGAGAAGAAACTCAAAGTTTAATTACATAGCTACACAGAAGCTATACACACGGATTCCAAAGACGGAGAATGAAGTCTGTATGTCATCCTGAACCAGGGAGAAGAGGGCAGGGAAGCGATTCCCAGGAATATGAGAGAGTAAATGTTCGGTAAGCGATGTTGCTGGGCCCCGCAGAATCAATGGGGTGGGGCACAGAGAGGAATTTAACAGACTGAGCCACACTCCCTGGCCGTCAGCCCTGGTCACGCTGTGATACGGTCACCTGTGGGGGCAGCTCCTCCTGCAGCAGGTCCTCCATCTGAATTCTTTTGATGTGGTTGGTCTGGGGGAGGTCAAAGTATCTTCCTGAGTCTTTTGGGCCTTGATGATTTTCAGCCCCAAATAATGCATATATCACAATGGCACATCTTGGGTGGCCTGCCCTTAGTCCCTACACCTGCGATGCAAAGACCTCAGTGGGCACTCCGCCATTGAGACATGCTTGTCAACCCAGGAGACAAAACAGATGTAGGAGCTATGCCTTTGTCTTGTCAATGGGTTTCAGCCCTGGGCAAGTTCACTTGGATTCAATGTGACCAAAGAAATGACAGTAGAATGTTCTTGGAGTGAAAGCGTTATACCCAATTTTATTTCCACGGTGGCAGGTCAATCACTAGAATCTCGTCCACTCAGAGCGAGTCTGTATGCAGCAAGCCAGTCTCTGCCTCTGGGCCCCTCTGCCTGCAGAGCTGTCCTCTGGGCCCCTCTGCCTGCACAGCCGTCTCAGTCTCAGTCCTCGGCGCTGCCACCACTCCAGTTTCGCCCAGAGTACTGGGCGGAGCTCTTTATATAGAGTCAGTAACGACGTATTGCCCACACTTGTGTAGTGAGCTAGCCAACCAGGGCCAGGCGAGAATCCTGGCCACAGGAACCTTCACTTTATCCACAGCCTTCCTAACCACTGGAAGAAAAAAGTGACAAAATCTTACCAGTCTAACTAAGGGAACTGAGCAATGGGAAAAAGAGGATAGAAATAATAAGAAGACCTAACAAACAGAAAACACAAAACTGCTCAAAAACACTGAAAAAAGACTGACACAGGCAAATGCTAATGAAAGATGCAGGTGAGGGGTTTTTATTTTAATATGTTTTGAAGAGTTTAATATTCACAGAGTTCAGTATTTGAGAGATTCAAATCAGTAAGATGCCCCTCACCCAACCTGCAGAGGCCACCAGCGTTAACAATTTCCTTTCCATTCTGCCAGATAGGAAATGGGTGGGTTATTTTCTCCTTTACACAAAAGTTGACATCAGCACAGAATGTTCTGCCTAGCATTTTTATTTATCTAATAATACATTGTGGAGATCATGTCATATCACACATTAGCAGCTTCATTCTTAAAGTGTAATGGGTCCCTGTTTAACTGGACCCTTGTGAAGAGACACCAGGGCTGTTTCCAGTCCTTTGTTATTCTTTCCAAAACCCTACAGTGAATAATATTGCACCCTTCATCTCAAATGTGCCACATGCACATGGATTAGAATAAATGCCTAGAAGCCATATTTATTGGTCAATGTGCATTTTAAATCATAATAGATATTGTGTGTGTCAATATTAATATCAAATAGAGTTTGGGACAAGACACATTAAATAGGAAAAATTGGTATTTCATATACTTATAAATATACAACATGTTTTATAAGACATGAAGCAGCCTTAAAGCACCTTAGAAAATATTGAAAAAAGCAAAAAATACAACTGATGAAAGAAATGGACAAATTTACAATTATATAAGTAATTTTAACAATGACATGGGTCAGAAACTGACAAGTAAAGTAGAATATAGGGATTTGAGTAGCAATGAACAAGCATGAGTAAACAAAGTAATGAAAAAGAGCAAGAACTCAGTAGGGGTAATCAATAATTCAAAAGCTTTTGAAAAGACCAATAAAATAGACACATCTTTGCTAACTGCTCAAGGAAGAAAAAGGCAAGAGAGAAGACCATTAAACCACTCAAAAGATTCAAGCTTGCAAGAACAGGCCACATCTCCTTTCTAGCCAACTGATTCGAAGACACAGATAAAATGAAAATATCCGGGGAAGCATACATTACTAGCGCTATCTCAGGAAGGGGAGAAAAACCTCACTAGGAAATAACCACAGATGAAAGAAAAGGGCCATTGGAGATAGACCCACTTCCATAGCCATCCCCCACCCAAGAAGCAGGCAGCGGTCCAGGAAAGTTTTCAGGCAAACTTTGCCACATTTTCAGGAAGTGCTGATTTTCTATGTTAAATTCATTTTCTAGAAAAGAGTGTTTTCCCAATCATTCCATGCTGGTGTACCCAGGAGCACCCAAATGGAGGAGGATTCATACAAAAATGGAAACACTGCTGCTAAGGCATGGCTACTGCTGATGTAAAAAGAACTAAGTAAGTATTAGTGAAATAGAATGAGCAGGGACTTAAAGAGGGACTCATGATGTGTTCATGGAATATGAACAATTATGTTCTTTACATAATTATATAATTTGTCACATGTTATAGATGGTATTTATTATATATATTATAAAGTTAATTATGAATTTATCCATTTAATATAGTTACCTAAGGAATTATAAGGAAGATTAAGAGGTTAAAGGAGAAAAATTAAAAAAATCAATTTGGTAAAATTCAAGACTCATGCCTTACTTTAAAAAAATTGCAATAGGCTAAGAATAGAAGGAAACTTGTTTAACTTAATAAAGGATATTTATCTCAAATTCTATACCAAATATCATGCTGAATGGGAAAGTATTAGAAACAGGAACCAGGTAACATAGTGCTCACTGTCATCTCAAATAGTCCTTGTTGAAAATCGATAGGACCAAGAGAAGCAATGAGGTGTGTTAGTGGGAAAGAGGAGTCCAACACTGCCATTGTTTGAGGTCAAATAATTATCTGTTTAGGAAAATCCAAGTGAATAAACAGAAAAAGCATAAGAGCTCAAATAGTTCAGTAATTTGATAAAGATGAAAGACATTTTTAAAAAGTAACACATAGAGAAAACATATTGGGAAAAATAGGTATAATAGGCAACACAATACATCCATGTTATGTAAATAGCGTCTACAAATCAATAAGAAAAAGATGAACAGTAGGCAATGATATAGACAGGATATTTGCAGAAAAATGAATACAAGTGACCAATAGACACCCCCACCCATACTAAATTATGAAAAATGATAATAATATCAATTTCTCATCAAATTGAGAAAGGTTTAGGAGTAATAATATCTAGTGGTGATACTTTTTTTTTATGAGGGAGGTGCTGTGTGTGTGTGTTTTATTAAGGTATTGTATCATTGATAAACAATCTTATGAAGGTTTCACATGAGCAGCATTGTGGTTACTACATTCACCCATTTATCAAGTGACCCCTGGCACCCTATTGCAATCACTGCCCATCCATGCAGTAAGATGTTATAGAGTCACTACTTGTCTTCTCTGTGTTATACTGTCTTCCCCATGACTCCCCCACCACATTATGTGTGCTAATCATAATGCTCCTTATTCCCCTTCTCTCTCCCTCCTTACCCCTTTCCCTTTGGTAACTGTTAGTCCCTTCTTGGAGTCTGTGAGTCTGCTGCTGTTTTGTTTCTTCAGTTTTGCTTTGTTATACTCCACAAATAAGGGAGATCATTTGGTACTTGTCTTTCTCTGCCTGGCTTCTTTCACTGAGCATAATACCCTCTAGCTCCATCCATATTGTTGCAAATGGTAGGATTTGTTTTCCTCTTATGGCTGAATAATATCCGTGGTGTATATGTACCACCTCTTCCTTATCCATTCATCTACTGATGGACACTCAGGTTGCTTCCATATCTTGGCTAATGTAAATAGTGTTGCGATAAACATAGGGGTGCAGATGTCTTTTTGAATCTGGGATCTTGTTTTTCTTAGATAATTCCTAGGAGTGGAATTCCTGGGTCAAATGCTATTTATATTCTTAGTTTTTTGAGGAACCTCCATATTGCTTTCCACAATCGTTGAACTAATTTACATTCCCACCAGCAATGTAGAAGGGTTCCCCATTCTCTGCATCCTCACCAGCATTTGCTGTTCATTGTTTTTTGGATGTTGGCCAGTCTAACTGGTGTGTGTGAGGAGATATCTCATTGTAGTTTTAATTTGCATTTCTCTGATAATTAGTGATGTGGAGCAGCTTTTCATATGACTCTTGGCCATCTGAATTTCTTCTTTGGAGAAGTGTTCAGATCTTCTGCCCATTTTTTAATTGGGTTATTTTCTTTTTGGGTATTGAGGCATGTGAGCTCTTTATATATTTTGGATGTTAACCCCTTCTCAGATATGTCATTTATGAATATATTCCCCCATACTGTAGGATGCCTTTTTGTTCTACTGATGGTGTCCTTTGCTGTACAGAAGCATTTTAGTTTGATGTAGTCCCATTTGTTCATTTTTGCTTTTGTTTCCCTTGCCTGAGGTGATGTGTTCAGGAAAAAGTTGCTCATATTTATATTCAAGAGATTTTTGCCTATGTTTTCTTCTAAGAGTTTTATTATTTCATGACTTACATTCAGGTATTTGATCGATATCAGGTTTATTTTTGTATATGGAGTTAGACAATAATCCAGTTTCATTCTCTTACATATAGCTGTCCAGTTTTGCCAACACCAGTTGTTGAAGAGGCTGTCATTTCCCCATTATATATCCATGGCTCCTTTATTGTATATTAATTGACCATATATGCTTGGGTTTATATCTGGGCTCTCTATTCTGTACCATTGATCTATAGGTGTGTTCTTGTGCCAGTGATTTTCTTGATTACTGTGGCTTTGTAGTAGAGCTTGAAGTTGGGGAGCGTAATTCCCCCAGCTTTATTCTTCCTTCTCAGGATTACTTTGGATGTTCAGGGCCTTCTGTGGTTCCATATGCATTTTAGAATTATTTGTTGTAGTTTGTTAAAGAATGCTCTTGGTATTTTTATAGGGATTGCATTGAATCTGCAGACTGCTTTAGGTAGGATGGCCATTTTGACAATATTAATTCTTCCTATCCATGAGCACAGGATGTATTTCCATTTACTGGTGCAGTGCCTTCTTTAATTTCTCTCATGGGTGTTTTGTAGTTTTCAGAGTAAAGGTCTTTCACCTCCTTGGTTAGGTTGATTCCTAGGTATTTTATTCTTTTTGATGCAATTGTAAATGGGATGGTTTTCCTGATTTCTCTTTCTGCTGGTTCATCATTGGTATATAGGAATGCAACAGATTTCTGTGTATTAATTTGGTGTCCTGCACCTTTGCTGAATTCAGTTATTAGTTCTAATAGTTTTGGGGTGGATTGTTTAGGGTTTTTTATGTACACTATCATGTCATCTGCAAATAGTTACAGTTTAATTTCTTCCTTACCAATCTGAATGCCTTTTATTTCTTTGTATTGTCTGATTGCCATGGCTAGAACCTCCAGTACTCTGTTAAATAGAAGTGGGGAGAGTGGGCATCCTGTCTTGTTCCCAATCTCAGAGGAAAAGCTTTCAGCTTTTCACTGTTAAGTATGATGTTGGCTGTGGGTTTGTCATATATGGCCTTTATTATGTTGAGGTACCTGCCCTCTATACCCATTTTGTTCAGAGTTTTTATCATGAATGGATGTTGAATTTTGTCAAATGCTTTTTCAGCATCTATTCAGATGATCATGGGATTTCTGTCCTTTTTGTTGATGTGGTGTATGATGTTGATGGATTTTTGAATATTCTACCTTCCTTGCATCCCTGGAATAAATCCTACTTGATCATGATGGATGATCTTTTTGATGGATTTTTGAATTAAGTTTGCTAATATTTTGTTGAGTATTTTTGCATCTATGTTCATCAGGGATATTGGTCTGTAATGTTCTTTTTTTGTGGTGTCTTTGCCTGGTTTGGGTATTAGGGTGATGCTGGCCTCAGAATGAGTTTGAAAGTATTCCCACTCTTCTATTTCTTGGAAAACTTTAAGGAGGATGGGTATTAGGTCTTCACTAAATGTTTGATAAAATTCAATGGTGAAGCCATCTGGTCCAGGCATTTTGTTCTTAGTTTTTTGATTACCAGTTCAATTTCATTGCTGGTAATTGCTCTGTTCAGATTTCTGTTTCATCCTGGATCAGTCTTGGAAGGTTGTATTTTTCTAGAAAGTTGTCCATTTCTTCTAGGTCATCCAATTTGTTAGAATATAATTTTTCATAGTATTCTCTAATAATTCTTTGTATTACTGTGATGTCCTTAGTGATTTTTCCTTTCTCATTTCTAATTCTGTTTATGTGTATAGACTCTCTTTTTTTGATAAGTCTGGCTAGGGGTTTATCTATTTTGTTTATTTTCTCAATGAAGCAGCTCCTGGTTCCATTGATTCTATTGTTTTATTCTTCTCAATTTTATTTATTTATGCTCTGATATTTTAAGTCCCTCCTTCTACTAACTTTGGGCCTCATTTGTTCTTCTTTTTCTAGTTTTATTAATTGTGAGTTTAGACTGTTCATTTGGGATTGTTCTTCTTTTCTGAGGTAAGACTGTATTGCACTATACTTCCCTCTTAGCACACCCTTCACTGCATCCTCCATATTTTGCAGTACTGAGTTATTGTTGTCATTCATCTCCATATATTGCTTGACCTCTATTTCTATTTGGTTGTTGATCCATTGAATATTTAGGGTCATGTTGTTAAGCCTCCATGTGTTTGTGAGCTTTTTTGTTTTCTTTGCATAATTTATTTCTAGTTTCATACCTTTGTGGTCTGAGAAACTGGTTGGTACATTTCAATCCTTCTGAATTTACTGAGGCTCTTTTTGTGGACTAGTATGTGATCTACTCTTGAAAATGTTCCATGTGCACTTGAAAAGAATGTGTATCCTGCTGCTTTTGGGTGGAGTGTTCTGTAGATGTCTGTTAGGTGTTCTGATGTGTTGTTCAGTGCCTCTGTCTCCTTACTTATTTTCTGTTTGGTCAATCTCTCCTTTGGAGTGAGTGATGTGTTGAATTCTCCTAAAATGAATTCATTGCATCATATCCCTTCCTTTAATTCTGTTAGTATTTGTTTCACATATGTAGGTGCTCCCATGTTGGGTGCATAGATATTTATAATGGCTATATCCTCTTGTTGGACTGAACCTTTTATCATTATGTAATGTCCTTCTTTGTCTCTTGTTACTTTCTTTGTTTTGAAGTCTATTTCATCTGATGTAAGCACTGCAATTCCTGCTTTTTTCTCCTTATTATTTGCATGAAATATCTTTTTCCATCCCTTTACTTTTAGTCTGTGTATGTCTTCAGGTTTGAAGTGAGTATCTTGTAGGCAGCATATAGATAGGTCTTGTTTTTTTTATCCATTCATTAACTCTATGTCTTTTGATTGGTGCATTCAGTCCATTTACATTTAGGGTGATTATCAACAGACATATACTTATTGCCATTGCAGGCTTTAGATTTGTGGTTACCAAAGGTTTGATCAAGGGCAGCTTCTTTACTATCTAACAGTCTAACTTAACTTGCTTAGTAAACTATTTCAAACACAATCTAAAGGTTCTTTATATTTTAGGTGTCATATTCTATACTCTTTGTGTGTCCCTTGGCCTTTGTGGGTAGTTGATTTAACTTTGAATTTTATTGGTAATTAACTGGTCTACTTCCTTTACTATGGTTTTATTTTTTCTGATGACAGCTATTTAGCCTTAGGTACACTTCCATCTATAGCAGTCCCTTCAAAATACACTGTAGAGACAGTTTGTGGGAGATAAGTTTCCTCAGCTTTTGCTTATCTGTAAATTGTTTTATCCCTGCCTCAAATTTAAATGATAATCTTGTTAGGTAGAGTATTCTTTGTTTGAGGCCCTTCTGTTTCATTGCATTAAATACATCATGCCACTCCCTTCTGGCCAATAAGGTTTCTGTTGAGAAATCTGATGATAGTTTGATGGGTTTTTCTTTGTATGTGATCTTTTTTCTCTCTCTGGCTGCTTTAGATACTCTGTCTTTGTCCTTGATATTTGCCATTTTAATTATTATATGTCTTGGTGTTGTCTTCCTTGGGTCCCTTGTTTTGGGTGATCTGTGTACTTTCATGGTCTGAGAGACTATTTCCTTCCTCAGATTGGGGGAGTTTTCAGCATTATGTCCTCAAAGAGAGTTTATATCGCTTTTTCTCTCTCTTCTCCTTCTGGTTCCCCTGTAATACGAATATTGTTCCGTTTGGATTGGTGACACAGTTCTCTCTTTCATTCCTAGAGATCTTTTTTCTCTGTGCCTCAACTTCCTTGTATTCCTATTCTCTAATTCGTATTTCATTTACTATTCCTCTACCTCATCTAATCTGCTTTTAAATCCTGCCATTGTATGTTTCATTTCAGATACTGTATTTTTCAATGTTTCTCTGTCTTGAAGTCCTCACTGGATCTTGAATATTTTTCTGTAGCTCCGTGAGCATGTTTATGACTTTTATTTTGAAATATTTATCAAGAAGATTGATGATTTCAGTTTCACTGAGCCCTCTTTCTGTTGTTTGAGGGATTTTGGTTTTTACCAGTTTGTTTTGCCATTTCATATTTCTAATGATTACTATGGAATAATAACTGTGTGTAGGTTGCGCCCTCTAGTGCCCAGATGCTATACTCTCTGGAGCTGCCCAGCACCTGGAATGATGGCGGGGGTTGCAGGGGCAGGGCACTGGTGCCTGCTGGGAGGAAAGAACTCTTTCCTGCTTCCTGGCTGCAGTGCTTTCCTCCACTGTGAGGGCCAGTGGGCCATGCACACAGGGAGGAGCCTCTGCATTATGCCTCTGTAGCTGCTGTAGGTGGTGCAGCCCTCTGGCTGGCCTGGTGTGATGGCATGAGCAGCAGGTTTGCAAACCAGTGCCAGCAGGGAGGAAGGGGTGGCAGGCTGTGTATTGCAGTGGGAGGCCTTGGTGCTGTGTCACCAGCCAACAGGATGGAGCACCTGAAGCTCCTGAAAGCTTCCAACCTCCTGGGCTGAGTGTGCTAGGATGATATCGTCCACCTGTCCTTTCTCCTGAGCAGCAAGCTCTGTGTAATCCTTGCCCCTTTGTGCCCCTCTCGTTATTGGGAAGGCTTTCAAGGTCTGTAATTTTCTTTTTTGTGGTGCCTTTCTTTTGTCCTGGAGCATCTGGTTGTGGGTACCTGTCCTCCACAAGCAGCTGGAATCTCAGTCTTTCTGAGTATTCCACTTGTCTTAGCTTTCCAACCCCACTAATCTCCAGAGCACCATGTAATGTGGGTTGATGCTCCCAGAGCAGAGCTCCAGGGCTGGGTGTTTAGCAGTCCTGGGCTTCTCCTCCCTTCCTGCTGCATTTCTCTTCCTCCTGCTGGTGAGCTGGGATGGGGGGAGGGTTTGGGTCCCAGCAGATCTTGGGTTTTTCTACTTTACCCCTTTCTTTGAGGTCTTCTCTTTTCCCCAGATTTAGACAGTCTGTCTCAGTCTTCTTTCCAGTTGCTCTTTCAGGATTAGTTGTATTTGCTGTATTTTTATGTTATATGTGGTTTTGGGAGGAGGTTTATGCTTTACTTCTCATACCACCATCTTTTCTTCTCTGCAGTGTGTGTGTGTGATTTATTATTTTTTTGAAAGGTAAGCTTTTGTTGCTCCAGGACAACTCGGATCTCACCAACTCCTAGCTGGGTAGGGCACATAGTGTGACTAATTGTGGACACAACATTATCAGAAGCCTGTGCTACAGCCCTAGGCTACTTTCAAAGACACTCAGCTGTGTGAAACCTGACTTGCTTTTAAAAATTTGAGTTCCATTTTTTTTCCTCTGTCTCACTCCCCACCTTCCATCTTTGTGGGGCTTCTCGCTGTCTGGGTGACACAGGACTTGGGCCTCGCTGTGCATTGTGTCATGGCCCCCTGTCACACTCAGTGTCTGGGCCTGTGACCTCTGGAGCCTGACCTGGCTTGGTGCCTGTCTGTAGCACCTGGGGTGGCCTGGCTGGCAGGTTAGGCCAGCTCTCAGGTCCTGGAGATGGTGTTGGGAAATGGGTGCCTTCATGTTAGTGCCATCTTTTTGGAAGGTGAGCTTTCCGTGGGCTCCTGATTTGATTTTAGGGGAGGCCAAGTTGCTGTTCTCAGGGTAAGTGAAGGTCTAAGTACACGATCACAGTTGCTCCAGGACTTGGGTCCTAGTAGCTGCAAAAAGCTAGGAGCTGGGTGGGTGAGGTGCTTCCCCTCAGCTGATTCATTTTCTCATGGTCTGAGCCGTTTCCCATGCATTTATGGGGAGTGTTTGTTTAGTCTCTTCCCTGCTGGCTGTGACACTTCCAGAGACAACAATCCCAGTAGAGGTCTTTATGAATGTGAGATGCACCGAAGTCATAACAACGCCAAGTGAGGTCCTTAAGTGTCACCCAAAGGCCAAGAGCTGAGTCGCTTCCTGAGCTCTCCAGCCAGCTGCAACCCCGAATCCCCACTGCTCAGGCCTGCTCAGTAGGAACTCATGCGGGCGCCTTGTACTCTGTATGGGCTCATTTATTTTGTTTATTGCCTGCTTCCCTCCCCCTAGATAGCAAGTTCCACGAGGATGGGCAAGTTTGCCTCTGTCTTCAGGGCCACTGCCAGCACCTGGTGTCCGTCCCACACTCCACTGAGTGAATGTCAGGGAATGCATACCTGGCAGCAGGTGTCCTGCATGATGGCCGCCTCTTGAGGGGAACACTGAATTCTCCTTCAGGAGGTGCCTCAGCCTCCAGGCAACAGTTTGGAGGGAATGAAGGGGGAATGCACCTGCTCTGTCCCCAGCTGTCTCAGGACTTGGGAAAGGGTCTTAGACAGGCTCCCTTCAGGGGCACCAGGCTTGGAGGAGTCCAGTGTGATTCGGGCAGGGCCTGGGAAGCATCAGCCTGCTGGGTGGTTCCCACATGGAGCACCCTCCGCCATCTCCTAGCCAGGATCTGCTGAGTTTCCATTGCTCTCAATATGCAAACAGGCTCCATGGTGCAGGCATCGTTGCCTGGCATGTTTTAAGATGAGAAGACAGGAGGAAGCTCTCAGAGGCGTTCACTCAGGGACAGAGCTGGGGTTTGTCTCCTGCCTTACAAGGATGGTATGTGGAGGGAGCAGAGTTCTTCTGAAGCTTGTGGAGACATAGTTTAAGAAGCAAATCTATTCAGCATTATGAATATGAACTTCACATTTGGAAGATGATACTAAAAATATTCTTTAAAAGCATCACTTGCAGAAAATGAAGCTCAGCAGACTCTTCTTGGCCAGTGGAGCTAGCTCTGTAGAAGATCCCCCTTCCCAGGCTGGGGGCACTCCACCCCATGCAGTGGGCCAGAATCCCTAGGAGGGGGAGAGTGAGCAGTTTCATCCCAAAGGGTTTTTAAAGGTCTGGAAACACCTGTAGCTGGAGAGCCAGAAGGCGAGGCTAGGGTCTGCAGCACAATGAGTCCCTCTCTGGCTCTGTCATCTGAAAGGGGCAGAGTGGGGCACGGATATCCAGGGCCACCCACCCCATGTCCCTGATATGTCGTGAGGATATATAGCGTCAGGATCCGGCCACCTAGGGGCTGGTGATGTCTCCTGAACAAACCCTTCCTTTCTGCACAGACCATCTCCCCACCAGCCTCCCATCCCATTTCGTCTTTGCCTGGTGGGACCAACACTGGGGAGAATCACCGGAGACGCTTCCCTTGAAGACTGTGCACTCCTCTGACCCGGCCCGTGGGGGCCGGCTCTCCCTATGGGAGGCGGATCTGCCCCCTCAGCTGGAGCTGGGGCACCATGCCCACCCTCTGAGTCCCAGGCCCCAGGAGTCTCAGTGTGGAACGGAGGTCACGTGGATCTACTGGAGATCACATGCCAGGTGGAGAGACAGCATCATTCTGTGGTTTAGGGGCACCAGGAAGTGAATCATCCCCACAGAATGGGTAATGAATGACTCCATTTTATAGATGGAAGAAAAACATATCAGCAAATCAGCCACCTTCCCTCCCACATCCAGGGGCTTCTCCTAGACTAAAGTTAGGTGATTGGTGGGCTGGGTTCCATGGAGCTGTAGACAAGCAATAATTACCCATTATCAGCATCCAAAAAGAGCTGCTTCCCCTCATTCTGGTACCCCACTGGGGGCTGCTCCGGCACCCAGGTGTCCTCTCCTGGGTCTCCCAAGGGCTGGGCACAGGCGGTGTTTGACTCCTGCCTCCCAGGGACAGCACATGGAGGGAACAGGGAGTTGTCCTGAGGCTTGGGGAGACATAGTTTAAGAAGCACATTTATTTAGCATTGTGAATATGAACTTAGATTTGGAAGATGCTACTAAAAACATTTTTAAAAAGCATTAATTGCAGAAAATTAAGCTCATCAGAGTCTTTCTGTGCTCCAGTCCCGTGTCGCTCTGTGCATTCTCCCAGGGACAGCCACAGCCAGAATGAGCTGTTTATAAGAATGCGTTCTTCTATTCCCCTGAAAAAGGATTGGCAGGGAAAGCAGTTCTCCTCTTTGCTCCCTGGTATTGTATCTGTATCTCAGAATTCCTGCCAAAGCCCACCCTCTAAGGCATTGCATTATTTTAGAATCAACTGAATTTCAACCAGAAAGTGAGTGTGAACATTACAAAATGGAAGCCCCTCTTCACTCCTCAGAGCCAGCGTGGAGGTGATATGGGCCAGGGCAGACTTCGGGGAGGAAAAGGGCGTGTTTCTGATGGCTTGCTGGCTGTGTGACTTCTAGTAACAATGCCACCCAAGAGGGATCAGTTCTCTCACTGCTAAAACATAGGACATGTTGATCTTAGATGTCCCTTCCAACTTAGAATATTGTCAATTCCAAGGGTGGATATTAAACAATGTAACTGCAGGAGAGTTATACCTAATAGTGTGTGTGTGTGTGTGTGTGTGTGTGCGTGCACAGGGAGGATTTAAAGTCAGCTGATTTTACAATCTTGGAATGGGGAAGGCTTTTTAAAATACAACCCCAATCCCAGAAACATGAAAGAAAAGATTCATAAATTCATCTACATGAAAATCTTCTATATGGAAAGAAACCTTATAAAATAGTCAAGACAAAAGATAAACTGTAAAGCATCCACATCAAAATGTTAATTTCTTCAGTAAGTAGTACCTTCAAATCAAAAGTAAAAGGATCAATCTACAGAGAAAAAGAAAAACATCTCAATGCAAATAGCCAAAAACACGTGAAATACTGTCAATCTAACAAGGGAATGCAAAGCTAGGTAACGAGATACATGTTGTCGTTTCCTCTGTAACACTGTACTGAACACTGCTGATGGGTGTGCTCTGATGGAGGCCCTGCGGTGGCAGTTTGACAATCCATCAAGTTGAAATGCCTGCACCCTTTGACTTGGGAATTATACTCAGGAACTTATCCAATACATATTTGGTAAGTAATGAAAAGGTGTGTCTGCAAAGTTAATCACTGTGGCACGGTAAGAACAAAGGACAGGCATCCATTGGCTTCTAGGGAATTGATTAAATGGAGTGTTGTGTATCCACAACACAACAATATTCTGCAGTTGCTAAAGTGAGCAGCTCTGTATTTACAGATGTGTATCTCTAAGATATTTGGTAAGTGCAAACAAGCGGGGTGCAGAATGGCCCCCGTAGCCTAGTGGCATTTGCGGTTTTGACATGGATACACCTGTAAGGACACCCATGGAACTTGTCACAGTGCTGGTCTCCAGAGAGGAGACAGAGGGTCTAGGGGGACAGGAGTCAAAGGGGGGGGGACATGTTGCCTGCTTTCAAATTTTATTCTGGTACACGTGTTACTTGTTAAAAATAAATACAGCTCTTAAAAATAAAAACATTCCTTAGGCTAATCTAGGGGTAGAAAATGTTAAATATTGATGGGAAAGAAATCCTGTGTATAATGTCATGTGTATAAACATAGTCATTCATGGTCATCTCTCAGCTTCAGTTTTCTCTCACTTTGAAGATTCCCTGCTTTGGAATTGAAACTCTGAGAGAAAATTAATTTCCTCTCTGTGTCTCTATAGCCCTTCAAACTGTGTAAGTCCCTCTCTGGGTACAAGATGGATGGAAGAAGAGTTGGCCTCTTATGTAATTCACTTTCTTTTGTTCTGGATTTCTAAAATGTAAGTCTCCTAAGAGTCTCACTTCAAAACAGAGAATACTGAAGAATGTCTTTGGAATGCAAGACAATTTGCAACCTATATTATACATGTGCGAAAATAAAAGCTGAGACAAATCACACACACACACACACACAAATAATAATAATAACGTTCCTCTGGACTAATGTTTACATCCTCCCAGAATCCCTGTGGTGAAGCCCCCATCCCAGTGTGATGGCATTTGGAGGGGGTACCTTCAGGAGGTAACTGGGTCTTTGGGGGTGGAACCCCCAAGATGGGATTAGTGCCCTTATAAGAACACTCATGAGAGAGCCTGCTTCCCTTCTCTCTGCCACATGGGGACACAGCAAGCAGGTAGCCATCTATCAATCTGGAAGAGCCCTCCCCAGAACCCAGCCTTGCTGGTGCCCTGGTCTCAGGCTTCCAGCCTGCAGAACCATGAGAAATGAGTGTTGGGTTGAAGCCACAGTCTATGGTATTGAGCTCTGACTCGAGAGGTGACACGAGAAGACTCCCATGGCAAACTGTTTCATGTGGTCAGAACAGTGTCTGAAATGGGTGGCAGATGTAGCTAGAGATGGACGCAGCTGCCACTCCTGTGCTGGAACCGACCTCCCCTTCTTCAGTTGAGCCTCAGATGAAGGAGATGGCTTGGGGTTAAGAACACAGATCTTCAAATTCTAGGGCAGTGTCCCAGGTGGTGTGATGCCCACATGGGAATGGCTGTGCCAACCTTCTCCTGAGCCCCATGGTGGGTGGGATTGCCATGAACGCTCTTGAACTGGTTCCCTTGCCTTTTGGAGGGACACGGAATGTATCTGGCAAGTCCGTGTAGTGTGTGTGTTTACCTGCTGTCTGTGCCTTGTCAACATCCTGGCCCCCAGGCCTCTGGACCACCACGGGTGGAGGACTCAGCTGTGGCCCCTGCCCACTGAGACTGCAGACTGGTGACCAACTGCCTGGAAAAGTTTGGAGGGAAGCCATTAAAGAGCCATCAGACACATCGGACTCCTGAGTGTCTGTCCCACCCTCACTGGCTGACCCTCTGCACCACCATTTCAGCCTGAATCCACAATGCCAGGAACCCCATGTAGATGGATACCAGTTCTGGGCAAGGTGTCTCCTTGCTCCAGGACTGGCATATGCTCTGAACTGGGGAGATGTTCCTCTGTTTTGTGGAGGATAACCCTGCTTTTTGGCTGGATCTTGTCTTCCTTCTGAGGATGACTGACATGCTGACATTCCAGTAGCTTCCCAGACACACGTGAAAGTCCCAGGATTGATCTCGTTGGAAGTAAGTGTGATTTCAAGAAGCACTTGCAGATGTTTGGAGTGCTTTAACCCAAGAGAGCCCCCTCCACACCCTGCCTCCCCATCGCAGCACGCAGGTGACCCAGGCGAGACTTGCTGGGCCAGGGGACCTGGGGCCTTTTTCCCTCCAGCCTCTGCATTCCTCTGGGCCCTTGGCACCATTGCCATGAAGAGCCACTGACAGCAGGGGGTGCTCAGATGACCCTCCTGACCAAAGCACAGATACTGTCAGCCAGGTAACCAGGAGAGACAAAGCATAAATACCACAGCATTTGGCTGTAGTGCACATCTAGAAAGTGCTTGGGAAGGCAGGCAACATCTTCCTTGAAGAGCACTGGGGATAACAGGTGGTGTAAAACGATTGGGGGTCACCCACCATACTGAGGACTGGCATCAAATAAATCATAGCTAAAACCAAAACGATGTCATGGAAACAAAAATATGACAAACATAAGCTTCTGTGATCATGAGACAGAATCTCATTATCTACCAAGACACAGAATTTCAGAGCTCACTTAGCTCTCCCCCTTCATTTACAGGTGAGGAGATGGTGTACTGGAGAGAGAAGGGCATTTGTCCATGCACAGAGCCCGAGACTGCAGGGCAGGAGCCTGGGGACACTCAGGTCTCCTCCCCCAGACACAGAGCAGTCTCCACGAAGGACTGGCTTCCGAGAGAAAGGGTGTGCCTGGGGTGCAGGGGGTCCCAGAGGCCACACACCTGCACATCCCACATGTGGGAATGCCATTCCTTTGCAATGCACAGTGGTCTAAAATCCATATCCCGGCTGCAAAAAATGGTAAACATCGAACTGATCATTTTTCTTATACTGAGTGTGCAAGAGTTTTGGGATGGGGGATGTGGGGAATTGCATGGATAATTCTGGTTTTGTTCAACTTACTTAGGATGAAAGAACTGACAATGTGTTGCATCTAAAACCCTGTCATTATTCACTCTACAGGCCTGACGTCTAGTCCTGGGTCTGCCCCTCCGGGGTAGTCAAGTGGGCTCCCCCTGCACGCAGTATCTCAGCTACCACAGTAGGGCTGGCCAGGGACCAGGAGTTGCTGACACCTGACGCCTTCTCTGAAGTTCACTCTCTCTGGTCTCTGCTAGGGTGGGAGGTTTGGAGCACAAGGGTCTCCTGGGTTTGGGCTCCTGTTCATGCTGTATGTGTCCTTAGGTATGGGCTCAGCTTGTGCACCAAGGCTCCTGTTGCCAGGCAGCTCACAAAGGCAAGAATGAGGTACACTCTACTGGGAAGGTAAACTGCAGTATGTGTGATGTACCAGTTGGCTAAGCTGTTATATCCACATCTCAGTACTGCTGTGGAGGTATTTTGCAGATGTGCGTAAGTCCAGGAGATCACCCTCCAGAGCACGGGCTGCCTCATGCAGTTAGCTGAAGGCCTGGGGAGCAAACCTGGGGTTTCCCTGAGAAAGGAGAGATTCTCCAAGGCTGCGGCCTCAGCTCCTGCCCCAGAGTTGCCAGCCTGCCTTCCTGCTGTTCTGGGCCTTCAGATGGCAGATGCCGTGCCTTTAAATCTCTCTGCCTCCCCTTCCTCTCCCTGTCTCCTCTCCCCTCCCACCTGCATATATTCCTCCGGGTTCCCTTCCCTGGACTCTCTGCTGGAACCCTGGGTGTAGAGTCCCTCCCACACTGGTGCATCGTAATTCAATCTTTATCATAATTCAAGGTGCATCGGCTTTATTTCCGATATGTATTTCCACTCTGTTGCTTTTGGAACCACTTAGGAGGCGAGGGGCTCAGGTGTCTGTGAATCAGGAACACTTAGGCTGGGAGGGGTGACTGGAGAGGAGGAGAAACAGGCCAGGAGCCCTGGAGAAGGCCGAGGGGTCTGAGGAGAATTGCTGGAGGACACACACTCCCTCCCAGTGTCCAATGGCCAGATCTGGGAGAGGGCAGCGCTTCTGGGGACTCTGGCGGGCTCTTTATTTTGGCTAATAGTTTTGAGGGACAACACAGATTTGCTTCCAGGAGCCTTGACATGTCCTCTGCCCAAAGCTGGTACTTGGAGACCTGCTCTTGCCCACCTGCTCCTGTTCAAGGACGGAGCAGGCATGGTGTCTGGCTGGACCTGAGCCGGGCTTTCCAGAGTCCAGAGTACCTTGTCTCCTCAGATAATTGCCTTTCCCCTCTCGATGGGGTTTCCCTGGACACACACCTGTGGGCTGCTGGCATGTGCTCTTCAGTTAGGTTACCTGAGAGGACCTTTCATAATTGCTGCTCCTCGGAATAGCTCTGGCTCCTCAGGGGTTTGAGGACAAGGAAAAGCACCAGGCCAGACCTTGGGGTATGGAACACATGCTCCCCATCAGCCCGGTGGCAATGCTCCGAGGTGGGAACTGAAGTCGGAGGACAATCCTCCAATCGGGATATGGGTTCCAAGGCTTCATCTGCTGCCATTTGCCTCATGCTTCAGCAAGCGTTTTCTTTTTAAGAAAAAAATAATGCTGGTATTTGAAGACAAGACAAATATTAGCCTGTAGGCTCACCAAAATGTCAGGCCTTTAACTGATACGGTTTTCTGAGAGACACTGCTTGCTTTGCAGCACATATAATGCTTGGTGAA